TGTCGTCGTTGTCGCAGGCTTTGCTGCGCTCGACGGTCTCATTGACGATACCAGAGCCCATCTTGACCTGCTGGCATTCTGAGATAAGCTTCTCGTTACCAGCTGTCAGTTCGCCTAGCATGAGAAAAGCACCGGCAGCGGGAGCGGAGGCACCGTTTATGACCAGCATGTTTTTGTTGTCCATCGACACAACAACATCTTTGCCGGATAAGGTGACGCGGCATTGGAACTTTTTCAGGCCCTTGGCCGGCTTGTTGTCGTTCGAGTTGACGTATGGTTTGGGATGGCCGCAGCACGAGGCCCTGGATGACAGTCTGCCTTTTGCTTCGTGGATTTTCACTAAGACCCTCTGCTCTATTCTCCCCCGGATGGACCTCCACGGCCATTTCGCCATCCCCGCCATCTCGAACATCTCGTAGTCCGCCTGAGTTGCGTGCATCATCGGCAGGTAAGCCAGGAAGGTTTCGTTCAGGCTCAGCATGCACACTTGTTCCTGACATGCGGCCGCCACCGCTGCTGCTGTCAGTCGAGCCTGCTTCGGATGGCGCATACGATTGACTTGTTGGTGAGTCGCTGCCTTCACGAACTGGTGATCCACTGCCTGCCTCATCTGATCCTGGATTCTTCACCATCGGCGGCAACATATCCACCATCAAAGGAACCTCAGACGGCTTTGGCTGCTGCACTCTCTTCTTCGGGATGAGCACACCTCCGAGGTTTGCTAGCCCATGTTCCCATGCATAAACATCCATGCTGGAGGCGAGATCAATGTCCCACCTCTGCTCGAATCTCCTGATCGAGCGCGAGACGAAAACTCCGGCTCCCTTTGCCCACACAATGTGGACATCATTCAATGTTGTCTTTCCTAACCAAATGCACTCAGACCAACGAGGATCTTGCCCATCGATCCTGTGCGAATGTACGCCATGATGCGCTCGCCAAACATGCAAACCTTGCCGCCGGTGTAGCTCATTTTGCAAGCTCGTTCAATTGGGTTTCGCCATGCTCAACGTGAAAACGATTGTGTAACCATGCCGAGTGAGCCACCGCCCAGCTCCACAAAGGATGCTTGATTCCAAATATGGTTCCTGGGTTGTTGATGTCATGACTGGCTTCACTCTCACCTGTGGTAGGCGAAGTCTTCAAACCTCCCAGCTCAACTTGCTTCATGAGAATGCATGCTTGTTGTCGTAAAGCTTGTAGCGCTTGCTCAGCTGGGCCGTTTGATTCATGGCTCTCTATGGGCGTTGTGTCCGATTGCACTCTGATGCCACATCCGCGGCACGCTTTCTTTGCTCCTTCAGCTACAGCTCTGATTGGATTTTCATCGTCACAACGCAACCGGACTTCATCGTGTCCAAGCCAGCTCACGAATCTCGTAAGCTCTGTAACAAGATGTGTGAGTGAAGATCCTGCTTTGGTTTTGGCTGGAATCGCATGCAAACACTTTGTTTGTCTGTCTGCCACACGTAGAATAGTGAGTTGATCACCTGCTGCCTCAAGACCAAGAAAACCATAGTCGAACGAGACAACGGAGACCGCGGACTGGCTGTGATCTGCAACGCTAGTATGCCTGTCTTGTCTACTCTTGAATGCCACGCAAACCGGGCACCAAGGTCTGAATGGGTAATGTGTCAGAGCATGTCTAGCTCTCTCCTGAGGCGTGGGATCTGCTGCTACACTCTGCGAGTCTGGTTTGTGCGTCATCTCTCTCTCTGGCGTGTGGGCTACGATCTTCTCGTCAATCATCTCTTTCTGCACAACGAAGTCACTCAAGCGCTTCCACAACTGCGACTTATTTCCCGTCGAAGCAATACCACATGCTGCGCACGCACTCTTAAGCAACTCCAATGAAAACTCGCTTGTAACCACCTCGTTCTCTACTTGAATTGCATTCGGAGGCATGTTTGGGTCGCGATCTTCCATCGCAGTCTCGGTGAACTCCTCGGGATCATCAACCATCGGCACATCATCACCTTCGCGATGCTCCCGATGTTCAGGATTCTCTCCCACGGCTTCCGGCTGGGCTTTGGCTCAAGACTCTGTGAACTTGCACGAAATGAAAATCCGAGTTCTTCAGGAGTGAGCTCACTGGAATCGTGAGCTATTGTGATCACTGCTTCAATTTCTTGTTCTATCAAACTTCTTGGTGAGATCGCCACCGGTGTTTCGAAGAAGAGTGCAAATTCTTCCAGGGTCCATGTTCCTAAACGACACGTCAATGTTGTGCGCTTCCAAAACATGCTTGATCTCGGAATCAGAGTCGTATCCACGAACGATGTGACATCGACTTGCACGTCACAGCACCGAACCCACATCTAACCATGTACCTCTCAACTCCTCTGGCTTCGGATGCAAATCAACTCGCACATCACTGACTGCTCTCACGCTGCTCTTTTGATGCATCGCTCGGATGGAACTTTTCACAACAAGAAACAACTGGTTTCGGTGGCCCATGGGATCTTATGACACCGTCAGTCAAATCAAACCTGAGTCTTTCTCAGCGACCACGTGGTATCCACTCTATTAAGATAACTAAGTCAAATCAATGGAACTGGTGACTGAGAAATAATGAACTTTTCACGAAAACTGTCACTTCGTGTTGTCTTGCATGCGCTCCAACCATGCGAACACTCAGAGGTTCCCACAGACATCCAACGTTGCATACACCGCCTCTATGTCAAGTCACACACGACCGAGACAAACACGGTCAAATCGATGCATTCATCGTTCTGCAAGCATGCTTTCTTGCTACAGGCTTCGACACAGCAGCTTTAGAACGCACTTTGAACCGTCCACACCGTGCAGCGCTGCCACCACACTTGTGTCCGTCTGTTCTACTTGACGAACACCAGTGAAGAACAAGGCTCCGGCCTCCGAAAACAGACATGTTCGCGAAAATGCGTCCACAAAAAACACGCTGGATTTGCTCGCAGTCCAACAAGCTGGACGGAAAGCAAAGCGCAAAGCGGTAGAGAGCTAAAGAGATTTGTTGCAGCCCTGCAGGAGCAGCAAGAATTTCAAAGCGGCAACGACCACCATTTTCACTTTTTGGGGTTGTTGAGTGTTGGCTTGCAGGACGGCTGATGCAGGTTTAGGTGCTGTCCCTTTCAGGCAAAGTGTTCGTGAAAACCAGACCGTTGGCCGAGTCGTATCTTGACACGTTCGTTGCCGAGTACCGCATCGACATTCTACGTTTGGCTGCAGTTGATGCTCTCGCAACAGTCACTTCAGACTTGGACCCATGGAAACTCTCGGACGGGAGCAGTTCAATGCCGAATTCCGCGTTTTGTCTCGCAGCTTTGAAGACGGACAAGCAGTCAAAATTGGCTTTTTACACAGAGGTGCCATCATCCGACCTCATGGCTTCAAGGACCAAGAGGTCGTCAACCGGCACCTGACACTCGCAAGCCGAAGAAGAATCAGCTTGATCACAGGACCCGGAGGTTTGCTACCTATCGAAGAATGCAGTGCAATTCGGCTCGTATCTACGCATGATCACGCAAGGAGTGAGTGCATTGTGAACGGCGAGGTGTTCATGCATGAAAACCTAAACCCTAAACCCTTCACCCTAAACCCCAAACCTTCCAAATCGGCTGAGGACCTTGAGACTTATGATTTCAGCCTCGATAACTACAAGGATGATTCGTTGCTTGGAAATGAAATTGACTCTCGTCTCACTGTCTCTCGGCAAGCCACAGATGACAGAAGACAGATTGCGAGAGTTAGATGACATTGCGGATCAACATGAGCTCAATCGACTTAAGAAGATGGGAAGAAGATGGGAGTTTTGCTCCCGCCGGAGACCTTAAATGACACGGGTGGCCCAGTCAAGAGGCTATCCACAAAGATGGTCAGGACATGGCGTGAGAATCCAGGCCCCACCGGTGAACAGATTTGGTTGCGTAGGAGTCGCTACATAGCTCGAGAGTTCGCATGGCTGAGTGAGCGAGAAGATCTTTTTAGTCCAGCTTCGTCGTCTATTGCGCATCGGGTCTTGCCGATGTTGGTGCTACAGAATCCAGACTGGGTGTTGGCAACAATCGACATCTCTGACGCATTCCTCAC